CACGCATAGCATTTAAGCGTTTTTTTGGGGGGGATGGTGACAACAATAAGGTCCTCCAAATGAACCATTATCATTTTACAAAAAAAATGTACTAGAGAACATTAAATATGTAATATTTGCTTAGCTAAGTTAGCTTTATGTGACTGCTCAGTAAATACATGATTACGGTATCATACCATAATCATAATGTTAGCCTTCTATTATTGTCTGCTCATTAAGCAGAGATAAGCTCCAAATAGTACTTTTTGGATATGCATGTCAGGTAGAAAACAGATTGTTTAAGGGTCTGATAAATCCTAATAACATTTTTAGAAAGCAATGTGTGTGGTGTGGTCATAAAAAAGCAGATTATCAGTGATCAATAGATAACTAAATAAACATACAAACCTTTAGGCAGGCCTTTTCCTTGCTTTTTAATCTTCTGTTGTATTTTATTGTTTTAAGCTATCAAAGTGTACTTAAAACTCCTAAAACAATTTACACTGTGTCACACAATATTTTCAAAGCTGTTTATGAAATCTATATTTTCAGTCAAAATACACTCAAATTGATTTTAGTGTACACAAACCCAATAAAATCTCTACATCTCTGTTAAATATAAAAGATAAATATGACAAGCCTCAAAACTGCTCACACCGGTGAAAGGGCAACAAACTATGATACCTATATAAAAAATTGTCAATAAGGGACACTTTAAAATCTTTTCAAACTCATAAATGTAGACACCCTGCACTCAGCTAAAGCACATAAAGAATAGAGGAGCCAATGTAGGAGCCAGAAGGAAGGATCATAGCATGGGGGGGGGGGGGGGGGGGTAGCAGGTTTTTAACACACCTGAAAGTTTTGGATACCTGTAGTGGCCAGGTATCAAAAACAGGGTAACGTTTTAACACCTTGGCCATGAAACAGTAAGTATACAACATTTTTTGTTTTATAAGTTGCCTTTAGACTGTATAGTGGCAGGGTCCTAGCAGGCAGAGAACGTACGCTATTTTATTTGCATGATCACATGGCGTATTGTTAATAAATCTAAATAAACAACTAGTAATGGCAAGAAATGTACAACAGTGAAAGGCAGTCAAGGAAGCAAGAGGATGTTATATCCTCTTAGGGAAGAATTGAAAACTTATTCTGTAAGAAATAGGGATGAAGTTTGGGTTTACTGCTACCATGGGGTTAAGGCAACCCCTGTGGATTTGAAATTTGTGGTCCATATATGAACTTATGCGTAGGTTTACCCAGGAGAATTATTTTTAAAGTATAAAGTACTGCAGGCCCTTTGAACTATGGCCAGCATACTTAGAAGGGCCAATAAGTGGGCTTTTGGATAAGCCAGTGCCCTCACTTTAAAAGTATTCACAGCAGGCCTCTGCATCACGTTAAAAAAAAAACTATTCATGAGTACCTAAACCACCTCAAATTAGTTTGCTGACATTCACTACACCCCCCCTATTATTATAGTAAATATAAAGTTAGGGCTACATTTGTTGGACATATTATCCACCCTGCACTGAGCAGCTATAGTACGAGTGTATTGAAGGCTGCTTTAGGGGTATGATAGGGAAAGCTGACAAAAAGAACAGAGAATATAAGGGTCAGTTAGCAACTATATTTTAATTGTAAAACTCAAATATCAATCAACACGACCAAACTAAAAATAATTAAATAAAATTAAAATATAAATAAACAAGTACAATATTAGTGAATAATTGCAAGCTGAACACCTGAAGTGAATTTCACATCAGCATACCATAAATAAGTTCAAGTGTAAGTGCATCACAACATAAACAAATTCCCACTAAATAACGTCTTCCTTCAATATGTAGTGCACCTCCACCACACTTCTTCCTTCAATATGTAGTGCACCTTCGCCACACCAGGTGAAAAACCTTCTCACCTTAGATATACGAGGTGGAAGTCTCCTGGAGAAGAAGTGAGGCCCTCAGCCAGATAGTTCTGATGAGCTTGCATTAATATATCTAAGGTGAGCTGGAGTTTCACCTGGTGTGGTGGAGGTGCACTACATATTGAAGGAAAAGTGAAGATATATGCATTTACAGATATGTGCACCATTTGATAGTTTAAGGGGATTTTCATTGAACTTTTTCTATTTTGGACTTTTTATATATGCATAATATGTTTTATGTATCGTATATACACTATATTGCCAAAAGTAAACCATTGGATTCAGGTGTTCCAATCACCTCCATGGCCACAGTTGTATAAAATCAAGCACCTAGGCATGCAGACATTTGGGAAATAATGGGTCGCTCTCAGGAGCTCAGTGAATTCAAGTGAGGTACTGTGATAGGTTGCAATCTGTGCAATAAGTCCATCTGTGGAATTTCCTTGCTACTAAAGATTAATGGTCAACTGTTGGTGGTATTATAAGAAAGTGAAAGCAAATGGAAACAACAGCAACTCAGCCACGAAGTGGTAGGCCACATAAAATGATAGAGCGGGGTCAGCACATGCTGAAGGACACAGTGTGCAGAAGTTGCCTACTGTATGCAGAGTCAATAGCTAAGGATCTCCAAACTTCATGTGACCTTCAGATTAGCACAACAGTGCGTAGAGAGCTTCATGGAATGGGTTTCTATGGCTGAGCAGCTGCATCCAAGCCTTACATCACCATATGCAATCCAAAGCATTGTATGCAGTGGTGTAAAGCATGCCGCCAATTGACTCTACAGCAGTGGAGACCTGTTCTTTGGAGTGGTGAATCACGTTTCTCTGTCTGGCAATCTAATGGACGTGTCTGGGTTTGGTGGTTGCCAGGAGAACGGTACTTGCCTGACTGCATTGTGCCAAGTGTAAAGTTTGATGGAGGGGGATTATGGTGTTGGGTTGTTTTTTCAGAGGTTGGGCTTGGCCTCTTAGTTCCAGTGAAGGGAAATTTTAAGGCGCCAGCATACCAAGACATTTTGGACAATTTCATGCTCCCAACTTTGTGGGAACAGTTTGGGGATGGTCCCTTCCTGTTCAAGAATGACTGCGCACCAGTGCACACAACAAGGTCCATAAAGACATGGATGAGAGAGTTTGGGGTGGAGGAACTTGACTGGCCTGCACAGAGTCCTGACCTCAACCGATAGAACACCTTTGGGATGAATTAGAGCGGAGACTGCGAGCCAGGCCTTCTCGTCCGACATTAGTGTCTGACGTCACAAATACGCTTCTGGAAGAATGGTCAAACAATCCCATAGACACACTCCTAAACCTTGTGGATAGAGATGAGCGAATTATTCAAAAATTCGATTCGGCTGATTCGGCGAATTCGTGGAATAAATTTGATTCGAATCGAATATATTCGCTGCAAATTTAACTTATAAAAAGGGTGTTTTCTAGGCTTCAGAGAGCCTTTATATTAGTGCAGAACACTGTACCTTTAAATTTAAATGCCCTTGGAGTCTGCTGGGGAAGAGAAATAATCATGTCAGTCAGTATGACATGCAGATGAGTGCCGTTCGATCTTAGAATCACCGCACACTTCACTCATTTGGGCAGTCACACGGGGCCAAAACCAGAGTGTGGAGCCACAGTGTGGCGGTGGAGGCAGCAGCAATGGGAGGCCATACAGCACCCTATGAAAAAATGGAACCCACCAGCAGTGTGAGGAGACCTGAAAGTGGCACATGGCAGAGTGTGGCGATGGAGACAGCAGCAATGGGAGGCCGTACAGGGACCCATGACACACTCTGGACCTGGCAGCAGCATGAGGAGGCGGTACAGGGGCCCATGACAGATTACGGGCCTGGCAGCAGCATGAGGAGTCGGTACGGGGGCCCATGGCAGATTACGGGCCTGGCAGCAGCAATGGGAGGCCCGTAATCTGCCAGCAGCCTATGACAAAATGGAACCCACCAGCAGTGTGAGGAGACCTGAAAGTGGCACATGGCAGAGTGTGGCGATGGAGACAGCAGCAATGGGAGGCCGTACATGGACCCATGACACACTCTGGACCTGGCAGCAGCATGAGGAGGCGGTACAGGGGCCCATGACAGATTACGGGCCTGGCAGCAGCATGAGGAGTCGGTACGGGGGCCCATGGCAGATTACGGGCCTGGCAGCAGCAATGGGAGGCCCGTAATCTGCCAGCACCCTATGACAAAATGGAACCCACCAGCAGTGTGAGGAGACCTGAAAGTGGCACATGGCAGAGTGTGGCGATGGAGACAGCAGCAATGGGAGGCCGTACAAGGACCCATGACACACTCTGGACCTGGCAGCAGCATGAGGAGGCGGTACAGGGGCCCATGACAGATTACGGGCCTGGCAGCAGCATGAGGAGTCGGTACGGGGGCCCATGGCAGATTACGGGCCTGGCAGCAGCAATGGGAGGCCCGTAATCTGCCAGCACCCTATGACAAAATGGAACCCACCAGCAGTGTGAGGAGACCTGAAAGTGGCACATGGCAGAGTGTGGCGATGGAGACAGCAGCAATGGGAGGCCGTACAGGGACCCATGACACACTCTGGACCTGGCAGCAGCATGAGGAGGCGGTACGGGGGCCCATGGCAGATTACGGGCCTGGCAGCAGCAATGGGAGGCCCGTAATCTGCCAGCACCCTATGACAAAATGGAACCCACCAGCAGTGTGAGGAGACCTGAAAGTGGCACATGGCAGAGTGTGCGATGGAGACAGCAGCAATGGGAGGCCGTACAGGGACCCATGACACACTCTGGACCTGGCAGCAGCATGAGGAGGCGGTACAGGGGCCCATGACAGATTACGGGCCTGGCAGCAGCATGAGGAGTCGGTACGGGGGCCCATGGCAGATTACGGGCCTGGCAGCAGCAATGGGAGGCCCGTAATCTGCCAGCACCCTATGACAAAATGGAACCCACCAGCAGTCTGAGGAGACCTGAAAGTGGCACATGGCAGAGTGTGGCGATGGAGACAGCAGCAATGGGAGGCCGTACATGGGACCCATGACACACTCTGGACCTGGCAGCAGCATGAGGAGGCGGTACAGGGGCCCATGACAGATTACGGGCCTGGCAGCAGCATGAGGAGTCGGTACGGGGGCCCATGGCAGATTACGGGCCTGGCAGCAGCAATGGGAGGCCCGTAATCTGCCAGCACCCTATGACAAAATGGAACCCACCAGCAGTGTGAGGAGACCTGAAAGTGGCACATGGCAGAGTGTGGCGATGGAGACAGCAGCAATGGGAGGCCGTACAAGGACCCATGACACACTCTGGACCTGGCAGCAGCATGAGGAGGCGGTACAGGGGCCCATGACAGATTACGGGCCTGGGCAGCAGCATGAGGAGTTGGTACGGGGGCCCATGGCAGATTACGGGCCTGGCAGCAGCAATGGGAGGCCCGTAATCTGCCAGCACCCTATGACAAAATGGAACCCACCAGCAGTGTGAGGAGACCTGAAAGTGGCACATGGCAGAGTGTGGCGATGGAGACAGCAGCAATGGGAGGCCGTACAGGGACCCATGACACACTCTGGACCTGGCAGCAGCATGAGGAGTCGGTACGGGGGCCCATGGCAGATTATGGGCCTGGCAGCAGCAATGGGAGGCCCGTAATCTGCCAGCACCCTATGACAAAATGGAACCCACCAGCAGTGTGAGGAGACCTGAAAGTGGCACATGGCAGAGTGTGGCGATGGAGACAGCAGCAATGGGAGGCCGTACAGGGACCCATGACACACTCTGGACCTGGCAGCAGCATGACGGCGGGAGGCGGTACAGGGGCCCATGACAGATTACGGGCCTGGCAGCAGCATGAGGAGTCGGTACGGGGGCCTATGGCAGATTACGGGCCTGGCAGATGACGACGAGGCTGCCAAGTGCGATCAGCCTCATCATCATCAATTAGGGTCTCCGCCTCACTACTAGCCCCCTCGGCTGCGTGTGGGTCAGGAGACAGACCTGTCTCTAGACCGGCTACCGAGCCCTCTCTCCTCAGCCACTACTTCTTCGCCTGGCTGCTGAAGAGGCGGATGTCTCCCCCCGTTCCTGACCGCCCTCTGTTAGCTCTTCCTCACTGTACAGTGGGGCTGAGCCCACAGCATGCGATACTTCGCTTGGTGAGGGAACACCAAAGGACAGGGGCAGGTAGAGGACACGTGATTTCAGTGGGCTTGCTCCCGGGCCATGCCAACTAACGGTTGTGTCTGACGTACCCACCGACCGTTGGCTGTAGGTGTCAGAGGTGACCTGGGAAGAGGAAGACGACCGAGCCAACCAATCGATGACGGCAGGGTTGTCGGTGGAGACACGACCGCTGGGTGACACCGGGAGCACTGGCCTCTGGCTGCGACTAGTGCTGCCTCGACCCCTTCCTCTGCTGCCACGTCTGCTCGCTCCTGAAACATTGCCTCCTCTGCCACTCCTCTGCGTGTTGTCTGACATACTCTTTAATTCAACGATTCTGTGTCCCTGAGTAACAATTCTGTGTCCCTGAGTAACAATTCTGTGTCCCTGAGTAACGATTCTGTGTCCCTGAGTAACGATTCTGTGTCCCTGAGTAACAATTCTGTGTCCCTGAGTAACGATTCTGTGTCCCTGAGTAACGATTCTGTGTCCCTGAGTAACGATTCTGTGTCCCCCTGAGTAACAATTCTGTGTCCCTGAGTAACAATTCTGTGTCCCTGAGTAACAATTCTGTGTCCCTCAGTAACGATTCTGTGTCCCTCAGTAACGATTCTGTGTCCCTCAGTAACGATTCTGTGTCCCTGAGTAACGATTCTGTGTCCCTGAGTAACGATTCTGTGTCCCTGAGTAACAATTCTGTGTCCCTGAGTAACAATTCTGTGTCTGTCCCTGAGTAACAATTCTGTGTCCCTGATTAACAATTCTGTGTCCTGAGTAACGATTCTGTGTCCCTGAGTAATAACGATTCTGTGTCCCTGAGTAACAATTCTGTGTCCCTGAGTAACAATTCTGTGTCCCTGAGTAACAATTCTGTGTCCCTCAGTAACGATTCTGTGTCCCTCAGTAACGATTCTGTGTCCCTGAGTAACAATTCTGTGTTCCCTGAGTAACGATTCTGTGTCCCTGAGTAACGATTCTGTGTCCCTGAGTAACGATTCTGTGTCCCTGAGTAACGATTCTGTGTCCCTCAGTAACGATTCTGTGTCCCTCAGTAACAATTCTGTGTCCCTGAGTAACAATTCTGTGTCCCTGAGTAACAATTCTGTGTCCCTGAGTAACAATTCTGTGTCCCTGAGTAACGATTCTGTGTCCCTGAGTAACAATTCTGTGTCCCTGAGTAACAATTCTGTGTCCCTCAGTAACAATTCTGTGTCCCTCAATAACGATTCTGTGTCCCTGAGTAACAATTCTGTGTCCCTGAGTAACAATTCTGTGTCCCTGAGTAACAATTCTGTGTCCCTCAGTAACGATTCTGTGTCCCTGAGTAACGATTCTGTGTCCCTGAGTAACGATTCTGTGTCCCTCAGTAACGATTCTGTGTCCCTCAGTAATGATTCTGTGTCCCTGAGTAACAATTCTGTGTCCCTGAGTAACAATTCTGTGTCCCTGAGTAACAATTCTGTGTCCCTGAGTAACGATTCTGTGTCCCTGAGTAACAATTCTGTGTCCCTGAGTAACAATTCTGTGTCCCTGAGTAACAATTCTGTGTCCCTGAGTAACAATTCTGTGTCTGTCCCTGAGTAACAATTCTGTGTCCCTGAGTAACAATTCTGTGTCCCTGAGTAACAGTTCTGTGTCCCTGAGTAACAGTTCTGTGTCCCTGAGTAACAGTTCTGTGTCCCTGAGTAACGATTCTGTGTCCCTAAGTAACGATTCTGTGTCCCTAAGTAACGATTCTGTGGCCCTAAAGTCTCTTTTGCCCTAACTCTGTCCCTAATACAGACAGGTCTGTCTCTCTTGAATGACCGGAGGCTAATGGAGAATTGTAAGATGGCCGCAATTTATAGCTCCACCATTACACAGTGCTGGCTGGCTGGCTGCTGATTGGCTAATGCGATCACATGTCATGAATGAATGCATTATGGGTCAGCGCGCCTTGTCTGCGCGCCTTCCTAGAGATCCCCGCTCCGTCGCCACACATGTCGCCGCCATTTTTGGGAAAATTCGATTCGTGCATCCGAAGTTTGCTAATTTTCGGATTCGGCGCGAATCAAATTTTTCCTGAACTTCGAAACGAATTCCACTTCGCCATGTTCGATTCGCTCATCTCTACTTGTGGACAACCTTCCCAGAAGAGTTGAAGCTGTTATAGCTGCAAACGGTGGACCAACTCAATACTGAATCCTATGAACTAAGGCTGGGATGCCAATAAATTTCATGTACGTGTAAAGGCAGGCGTCCTAATACTTTTTATTGTATTTTAATTGTGATTTCTAGCTCTTTGGCAATCAACTCCTTTGCAGCCTTTATGTTGTTATTGGAGGCTTTTTTCTATTTGTTTTATTTTGTGGTTGATTTAAGGTCAATGGTCATTTTTATCATTTTGGCCTATTTTCCCTGATTAAAACTGTATTGCTATGGTCAGTTTCATACTGTGATGTCTTTTGTAGTATCTTAAATTTTGTGATAAAGCCCCAGTCTGTGTTCATTGTTTCTTTAATTTAGGGCTAGTCTTGCCAATTGAACTTGTACTCTTACTGGCCAATTTTTCACTGCTTTGTCATATGCAGTCTCTTTTTGTATTCTTGTAGTAGAAGACCTGCCTGCACTTTTTATCTCTTGGACATATACATATCAACATATTTTCCCTGATTAAACCTGTCTTGCTACTGGCCAGTTGTATTTATTCTGCTATTTTGCTTTATTCTTTGCAGTATCTTGCCTTTGTCTCTAATAAATTTGGGCCACACCTCATTAAAATTGTCCTGCTGCTGGCTAGTTGTTATTGGTATTGTTGTATTATCTGGAGTCTCTTAGAGTTCGTTAAACATGCTTGAAAATGTAACATTGGACAAGCTTTTTAAAGCACTCTGAATGCCAATCAAAGCACCTGTCATTAAATAAAATGGTAAACTTACAGTACTGTTTACATATTGTGTTTGCTTTACGTCTAAAATTATACCCCATGGCACTTTTTTGGTTTATGACAAAGCTCACTTACAGTACTTGCAGCTTTTGAGAGGCTTTTTTGAGCTTTAGCTTTGCTTTGTTTTGTAGGTATTGCAGGTATGAGATGCTCGAGGATGCACTGGTAAACCAACAAGTGAACTGGAAAGATGTCATCAGCAGTCATTTCTGTTCCTTGTGTATATATTCTGGAAGTGTCTGGTGCAGTCGTAACATGTGGTGTGCATGTAGAGCAGCAGGAAGGTGAGCGGGGTCCGGGCTGGAGTGCAGCAACTAGCAGACAGCACACGTGGTGTGCAGCATGGAAATGCTACAGCAGAATATAATTGGAGACCGGAGAGAGAGAACTGAGCAGCAAAGGATCAGCAGAACTGGGGGACCAGAGCAGGAAAAACTAGTTAATGTCACACATGGTGCACAGCATTGGAGCAATATAGCAGGAGGTGAGTGGGGACCAGAGAGAGAGAAGGATCAACAAACCAGAGGATCAGCAGAGCTGGGGGTTACTACTGAATGGGGCATCAGCAGAGCTGGGAGTGCTGCTGAGCAGGGCATCTGCTGAATTAAGGTATTAATAAGCTAGGGATCTGCTGAACAAGGGGAAATATGAACAGAGGCACTAATGAACTGAGGATCTGCTGAGTAGGGATACTACTGAGAGAAGTTCTATTGGGCCCCTTTAACCACCTTCCGCCAGCCCTATAATACAATGACGGGCGCAAGGTGGTTCTCTCGTTCTGATAGGACGTCATATGACGTCCTACCACTCTCACTGCGCATGCGTGGCTCAGGGAGCGCGCAGCGCGGCGATTGCTGGTGCGCTGTGTCCCTCGGAGCCGAAGATGTCGGCTTGGTCATGTGATCAGCTGTGTCCAATCACAGCCGATCACATGTAAACAAGGAAATGCCGGTTATCGGCACTTCTCTCCTCTCGAGCTGTCACGCTGACAGCTAGAGAGGAGAGGAGAGCCAGTAATCGGCTTTCCGCGGAGGGGACATGTACACTGATCATCAGGGCACTGATGATCAGTGTGGCCCCAGAAGTGCCACCTGTCAGTGCCGATCAGTGCCACGTGCCAGTGCCCATCAGTGCCACATGCCAGTGCCACATCAATGCCACATATCAGTGCATACCAGTGCACATCAATGCCACATATCAGTGCCCATCTGAGCTGCCTTTCAATGTCACCCATCAATGCCAGTCAGTGCCACCTATCAATGCCACCTATCAGTGCTGCCAATCAGTGCCACCTATCAGTGCCAGTCAGCGTCGCCTATCAGTGCGCATCAGTGCCAGTCAGTGCCGCCTATCAGTGCCAGTCAGTGCCGCCTAACAGTGCCAGTCAGTGCCGCCTATCAGTGCCAGTCAGTGCTGCCTATCAGTGCCACCTATCAGTGCCACCTATCAGTGCCATATATCAGTGTCATGTATCAGTGCTGCCTTTCAGTGCTCATCATTGATGCCTGTCAATGCCCATCAGTGTAATCTACCAGTGCCTCCTCATCAGTGCCCATCAGTGCCACCTATCAGTGTCCATCAGTGCAGACTATCAGTGCCCATCACTGCAGCCTCATTAGTGCACATCAGTGAAAGAGAAAAATCACTTATTTACAAAATTGTATAACAAAAACTAAGAAAAAACATTTTTTTTTTCAAAATTTTCAGTGGTTTTTGGTTTGTTTAAGAAAAATTAAA